AGTTTGGTGCGGTTTACCTTGAGTTTTTATCTATTGTGTGCTCTTGTATTGTTATGGTTGAAGCTGAAGTATTCATTGACAGATAGGACGTTGCAATATATAATTTTATGTACTATACTTAGATAGAACTGAAAGTGGCGTAGTTCTAGGTTTTCTAGGTCTAGAATTTCAAGTCTGGTGGCATAAGGTATTCTGCAACGAGTAGAGGAGTGGAGAACTCTTCTTGTGAAATATTTCTGGATTTTCTCAACTGTGTTAATACGTAATGCAGGTTCCAGACTGATGAGCTGTAGTCGAGTATTGGTCCAGCAAATGTTTTGTATGCTCTAGTTAGTATTGTGATATTACCAGAAAAAATGCTACTTAAGATTAGGTTAACAACTCTTAATGCCTTTTTGGCTGTGTAGTTACAGTGGGCTCTAGCATTTTAGATCATTAGAGAGTTTGGATCATCAACAAGGTCTTGACTATTCAGCCTGTATTTTATTTTCTGATATATTTTTTTGCCAATATGTAAGACAGAGCATTTATTTGATAGATGCAGTTTCCCAGGATCATGAGATTGCTACAGGTAGTCCTCGACCACAGTTGACCTCAGAATTTACGTTGCCAAGTGAGAAATTTGTGAAGTAAATTTAGTCCCAATATACGACTTTGTCACAGTCGTTAAGTGAATCACTGCAGTTGATAAGTTAGTAACATGGTTATTAGCCATGAAATTTGGCTTCCCCATGGACTTTGCATGTGAGAAAGTGGCTGGGAAACACTGGGAATCGAAGTCCACCCATCCTAAAGTTACGAAGCCTGAGAAACGTTGTTGTAGATGAGTTTCCTTCTAAAATGAGAGATGAATCATTTCACTGATTTTCCAGAGGTTACTCACCTGAAAACAAGTTCTTCAACGATGAGGCTAGCATGAATAAAGATGACAGGATAATAAGCTTGTAGCATTTTTTTCACATCACTGGATCCTATGACAATCATTCCACTGGATTATCGTCAGATAGAATACTGAAACAAGGAAAAATCTGTCACGTCATTTGTGCCAATACAAGGAAGACTGATTCACAGGTGAACAATGAGTTAATCTTGCCTTCTGGAGGAATCAGAACCATAATTCCTAGAATTTTTGAGCTGTTGTGCAGGTAGTCCTTTACTTACAACCACAATTAAGCCCAACATTTCTGTGGTTAAGCAAGACAGTTGCTAAGTGTGATTTGAACCATTTTTCGACCTTTTTGGTACAGCTATTAAGTGAATTGCTGCAATTGTTAAGTTAATAATAAAGTTGTTAAGTGAATCTGGCTTCTACATTGACTTGGTTTGTCGCAAAAAGTGACCACATGACCAGTCTGCAACTGTCATAAATATGAGCCAATTAACCAGAGTCCAAATTTTGATTGCATGACCATGGCAATGCTGCAACAGCCGTAAGGGTGAAAAACGGTCATTTTTCAGTGCTAGTGTAACCTTAGTCACTAAATGAATGGTTGTTAGTTGAGGATTACCTGTAGTTTAAGTTCAGCCACCAAACTTCCAGTTGGGGAAAAGGGTCTCTGTTCTGCATAATTTGGAATATGAAACTTGCAATAGGTTTAAAGTCTACAGCAATGTTTCTCAACCTTGGGAACTTTAAGATATTGCAGATATTGCAGTCTTCCAATATTTGAGGGGCTGCCCCAAAGAAAAGGGGTCGATCCATTATCCAAAGCACCTGAGGACAGGACAAGAAGCAACGGATGGAAACTAATCAAGGAGAGAAGCAACTTAGAACTAAGAGGAATTTCCTGATAGTTAAGGACAATTAATCAGCGGAACAACTTGCCTCCAGAAGTTGTGAATGCTCCAACACTGGAGGCTTTTAAGAAGAGATTGGACCACCATTCGTCTGAACTAGCATAGGGTTTCCTGCCTGAGCTGGGGTTGGACTAGAAGACCTCCAAGGTCCTTTCCAACTCTGTTATTCTGTTAAAGATGGGTGGACTTCAACTCCCAGAATTCCCAGTCCGCTAGCTAGTGTGATGTTGCTTTATGACTTAAAGTTGATGGGTTCTCTGGTGCAGAATGGACTCACTGGTGTGATCATATTTTCAGGTGAGTGTTGAAAGAACATAACAGCAAATCTCTCCTCTCCGCCCCCTTTTTCAAGATATAAACAGTGTCTCCAATCATCACAAACATCTTTGAATTTTTATGCTCTTGTAAAAATGGGAATGAGGGCCGAGGCATTCCTAAGGGACAAATATTGCTTAGATGAATTATAGGGGTACAATGTCATGAATGGAAAGAATATTTGAATGTAAGTGTGTTGATAGAGAATATTTGTAGCTCATGGCTAAACTATGGTGCTCCTTGATGCTCTCCAAGGTTGGTTGTTTTCTTGCAGATCATTCATCACCAAATTAGCAACATCTCACTGAAGATGTTGCCTAGTTTGGTGATGAAACGTCTGCAAAAAATAAAAATAAAAAACACCAACGAGGTTCAGAGAGCACCAAGGACCTCCATGTTAGCCTGTTAGTCTATTCCAATTATGGAAAGAAACTTCCAAGAAGATTTCCAGTGCTTTAGGAATGAGTTGCAGATGTACCAGCTTGCAACATGGCAGTACTCATAATCGCCTAATTGTTTAATTGATGTTTATGCAGTGGTTCTTCCTATCAATTCTGATTCTTGGGAACTACCCAGGAGAAGTCTGTGCAGTTATCTTGGCAACATTTTTGAAATCATTGGCCAAAACTAATACCTAGGATTTTTTTTATACTAATCGGTCCAGGGTTGAATGCAGTGGGATGGGAACTGATCCAAACAACAGCAAGATGGGAGGGATCGGTTGTGCTGTGCAATTTAGATTAGCTAGAAATCAAGAAATCCCACAATTTCCTGCTTTCTAGCTAATCCAAATCACTAAAAACAGCTGATCTTCAGAATGGTTCGCTCCCAGCTGATCTTCGGAGCTACCGGTTCTCCTGAACCAGGCTAAACCAAGTAGAAACCCACCCCTGGTCATGAGCATGAAAACATCCGGCTGTTTTTTGTGATTTGGATTAGCTAGAAAGCAGGAAATCGTCAGATTTCTTGATTTCTAGTTAATCTAAATCGCACAACACAGCTGATCCCTCCCATCTTGCTGTTGTATTGCTTTGCCCAGGAGGTTTCCCTGAGGACTAGTAGGCAAAAAACAAACAAGCCCATGCCCACCCAATCACATGACCACCTGGCCACGCCCACCTAGCCACACCCACAGAATCGGTAGTTAAAAAATTTGCATCCCACCCCTGCTCATGACATAAAACTCACATCTCCTGGCATCAAATCCAGAACCTTAAACTATCATATCCTCCAGAGCAGGGGTCTCCAACCTTGGATACTTTAAGACTTGTGGACTTCAACTCCCAGAATTCCTCAGCCATCTATTTTGGCTGAGGAATCTTGGGACTTGTAGTCCACAAGTCTTAAAGTGGCCAAGGTTGGAGACCCCTACTCCAGAGATTCTTTGTTTGATTCCACAGGCAATAAAATCACCCCATCTCTATACAGGTAGTCCTTAACATATGGCCACAATTAAGTGCTAAGTGAGATATTTGTGAAGTGAGTTTTGCCCCATTTAACAACTTTTTCTTGCCACATTAATTAAGTGAATCACTGCTGTTGTTAAGTTAGCAGTGAACCTGGCTTCCCCATTGACTTTGCATGTGAGAAGGTGGTAAAAGTTGTTCACATGACCCCGGATACTGCAACCATCATAAATATGAAGCAGTTGACAAGCATCTGAAATTTGATCACATGACCATGAGAATGCCACAATGGTTGTGTGAAAAATAGTCACGTCACTTTTTTCAGTGTCATTGCAACTTCAAAAGGTCACCAGATGAACTGTTGTAAGTCGAGGACTACCTGTATTATGTTACCGAAATGAACTAAAACTAAGGTAACAAGTCAGATCCGCTTCTCCAAATAAATAATTTAGTTCTCTGTTTTGTACCGGTTTCTGTGGTGTTGAAGGCAGAGAGGAACATGGCTCTTTAATCAAGATTTTTTGATATTTGTGTCCCCAGTCATTGGATTTCAGTGTCTGTGGAAAATCAGTAGGGTGGCTCCTTGTAATTGTGCTGTCAGCCTCACACAAAAACAGGGTAAATTCTGCTTTTCGCAGAAATTAAAAATGCAAACTAGAAATGATGTTGTCCATCCCATAGTTGGGAAAATCCTGATCTCGCTCAAGCGAGTAGGGCAATTCTAACCTCCCATGCAGTAGTTGACATATATAACTCTAGAGCAGTGCTTCTCTTGGCCATTTTAAAATGGATGGACTTCAACTTCCAGAATTCCCAGACTGCTCAGAAGTCCGCCCATGAAGACCAAGGAATTCTGAGAGTTGAAGTCCACCGATGCTGGCATGGGAATTCCGGGAGTTGAGGTCTACCGATGCTGCCTAAGGAATTCTGGGAGGTAAAATCCAACCATGCTGATTGGGAATTCTGGGAGTTGAAGTCCATTCATCTTAAAGAGGCCAAAGTTGAGAAACATTGCAAGAATTACAGATCTGTATCCCCGTTGACATCTACCATCCGATTAACTCTCATATTGAGGTTTTCGTTCTCAATTGCCATTAAATTCCTCCCCTTCTGATTGTTATATGTTGCATTTTATGGTTATCAACATAGCCTCGTTAATTTTCCGTTCTGTTCTTTCACTTTTCTTAGTCCTACCTTCCTGACAAAGTTGTGATGAGGAAATTCAGAGGAAGAGAGCTATATTGCTAGGGGCTTGCTATTAAGAAAAAGTATCCCATAACAGCCTTCTTTTCCTCCTTCAGGAAAGAAGGGAAATAAATACAGTCGATCAATGTCACCATCCTGGCTGAACCCTGGGAAAAAACCTCAGCTAGCCTCCCAGAGACCTAAAATCCACCCTGCCCACTTCTCTTTCCTTGTTGTGTCACGTGGAAGCTAATTCAGTTTTAATTGCTTTTCAACTTCAGCCATCCCTTGATTATGCAACCAGTGCCTTTAGCCTCTTCCACCTCCCTCCTCCTTTTCCACTCCTCTATAGTCGTGTTCTTGTTTCGGTTGCCAGTTCCTTTTTCATCCAGCGCTCCCACAAAAAGGACTTGGAGGCTTGGCGAAGCCCTCAAGGGAATACCTGATGTACATTGGAATCCAGGTATTTCCCCTGGAGCACAATGCAGTGTGTCAGGAAACAGTCCAGATTCAGCAAAGCCCAAGAAATTCGGCTCGAGGAAGAGAGCCGGAAAGTAGCTGCTCTGAATGGACAAAGGCTAGGTAAGACTGCCAACCTCAGCAGATTCAGGGCGGTGGCTGGTTTCCATGTCTCAGGTTCACCTTTAAGTCAACAAACCTCAAGTCAGATTTTAATCTTGTAAAGATTATTTTCCTTCCTTCAAGGTGATCCTTGGGATTTGGGACCCATCGTCTGTAAAAAGAAAACATTGTGGCTGTGGTTATTGTTGGTCAGGAAGAGCCCAGAGGAACACTGGGTCACCTGAATGTTCCTGAGAGTGGGCTGCAGAGTTCGTTTGACTTCGTGCAGTGTCCAGATAGTTGTTGTGATTCTGGCTGCATTGAATGAAGAATTGTTCTGATATCATTATTGCCTGAAACGGAGACAGGAAATCTCAGTTTCCTCTGTGTGGAGGGTGAGGGAAACAGATGGGGTAGTTGAGGATTGTTGTGAATCTAATTGCTTTGGTTTTTTTTGTGTTTTCTAGTCTTATTTGTGTGGGGATATTTACAAAAAACAAGGCAAAAAGATTCACGTGCTGCAGATTTTGCAACCTTCGCTATCAAAGTCTGTGCATAATCTTGGTTTATAAGAAGTCATGTTGGGAGGATAGGAAACTAAATATTTCTTCCACCTGAGCTGAGAATTTCAAGTTTGTGTAGTTTTTTTGACAGTTGTACAGATGCAGATGGCAGTTATCTTTTTCTGGAATACATACATACATGCGCGCGCACACACACACACACACACACACGGAGCTTATAGTGGACTATAGAAGGAACAGATCAGACATCCAGCCCTTGCTTGTCAATGGAGACTGAGTGGAGCAAGTGGCCAGTTTTAAGTTTCTGGGGACCTGATCTGGGGTGCCCACATTGCAGCCCTGGTCAAAAGGGCCCTGCAGAGATTATACTACCTGAGGCTTCTCAGAAAAACAACAACTGAATGGAAAACTGCTGGTGACCACCTGCACCAGAGAGAGTATGTTAACTTACTGCACCTCTGTATGGTTTGCCAATTGCACAGTGGCAGATAGGAAAGCTCTCCAGAGGGTTAACGTCATTGCCCAGAGGATCATTGGTTGCCCTCTCCCCTCTTTGGAAGAGCTTTATAGCTCCCGCTGCCTGAAGAAAGTTCAAAACATTCACAAAGATCCATCTCATCCTGGGCAGCCTTTTTTGAACTATTACCATCTGGCAGATGGTACAGGCATAATAAAAACAAGGAGAAATAGGCTGAAAAACAGCTTCTATCCCAGGGCAGTAGCTCTTTTGATTTCTACTGTATAGTGCAGTGTTGGTGCCGCGTCGGGAATTTTCGGTTCAGTGTGTGGAGGGTGAAGGATGTGTGTTTCTGTTTATTTTCATGGTCATGGTCATGATGTACACTGAAGATGGTGTTTGATTTCGTTGTACGAGGTGCAAGGACGATAAAGAAAACTAAACTAAAATATAGACTTAGAGTCTAGTAGTTCATACCCTTGGGATTTTTCCCATCCAAATACTAAATCAGGCCTGATTCTTCTTAGCTTTTGGTGATCAACAATGTGTGTTAAATTACAGAAAAATCTTGGGGCTGTGACTTTTTGTTAAAATGGGATTTTTTTGGCTTCATTTGAGATAGAACTTTTGATTTTATTTAAGGAGTTTATTACAATCTCGTTTTTTTAACTAGAGCCCTGAGAAAAGCAGACTCTTTTCTAAAGTGCCCCAAAGAAGCATTTTCACCCAGTGGCTCCCAAATAAAGCTCCCAATAACATATGGTCCAAAGGTCAGTGGATGGGGATAATGGGAATTGTAGTCTAGCAATCTGGAAAGAAAGATGTCAGTGCTGTTGACTGGATGGGAAGTTAAAACAATTTCAAAGTTTGCCGAGAAAACAGGACTAATTCTTGAATTAGTGATTTCTTAGTAGTCCTGGAAAGAATCGGAAATATGCTTGGGTAGAACAATGCTGGCCTGGTTCCTGATTTATCCTAGATTAGGGCCGTATTCTGTGTGCACACAACATATTCCGCTAAAGTTTGCCTAATTGTGCTTTATAGAATAAGCCATAATTGGCTGGATTTTCTAGCTGCTAAAAAACACGATTTATAAATCCAAAAGGTTGGTATAGTGAATGCCAGTTTGGGGTCTGCCTAGCTGCAGATAAAGGAACAAAATTTCGTAACCTTGGCAACTTTAAGATAAGTGGACTTCAACACTCAGAATTTCCTATATGCATGGATTTCAACACCCAGAATTCACCTAACATGCACGGACTTAACATGCTGGCTGGGGAATTCTGGGAATTAAAATCTACCTATCTTAAAATGGCTAAGATTGCAACATATGGTTGTACGTTCTTGCATCTACTTTTCATTATTGGAATCTGAAGATGTTGCCTTTTGCTGGTTGCTTAAAAAAAAGTCCATTCTAGGAACCACTCTGCCAATGTAGCTAATGAAGGACAACATCTAAGGGCATCTGTAAGAAGAACGCAAGATGACACACATAGTGATGATGTCACCAGCACACTTGCATCAGATGTTGCAACACAAATACTGTACATAATTAGGACATTTGCATAAATTATCATGGTGAGCTTAGAGGCATGTTGATGTCACTGTGTTTTGCTACGGATGTTATTGCAATGCTGGGAATTTATAGTTGACTCTGGGCGTGCTGAGTAGTTGCCTATTCTTGGCCCATGATCACATGGGTGGATCCAATCGCTAAGAAGACACTGACTTGATGTCTTTTTAAAGTCAACTTTTCTAGATCCTACCAATCCTCTAGTTCTTTACTGCTGACAGATATGTTTTCTGGGTCAAAAATTTGTGTGAAAAATGGCAGGTCTCTTCTAGACAAGGTAGACTTGAATTAACATGGCTGCCTTACAGAATAACAGTACAGAATAAGAGAATTAAAAGGTTGGAAGGAACCTTGGGGTTCTTCTAGTCCAACGGCCAACTCAGGCAGGAAACCCTATGCTATTTTAGACAAATGGCTGTCCAATCTCTTCTTAAAAACCTCTGTGATGGAGCACCCACAACTTCTGTTTATGTAGTGTATATTGGAGGTGGTGACCCTTTGAGAGTTGTATGCAATGAAATGTATGCCGATTAGTGTACATTCAAAGTGACAATCAAGTTATTCTAAGTCAGGGATTATTCTGGGAGTTGAAGTCCACAAGTCTTAAAGTTGCCAAGGTTGGACACCCCTGTTCTAAGTTCTGGAAGCAAGTCATTCCACTGATTTATTGTTCTCACTATCAGGAACTGGCAGGACAAGAAGCAATGGGTAAAAACTAATCAAGGAGAGAGGCAACTTAGAACTAAGGAGAAATTCTCTGACAGTTAGAACAATTAATCAGTGGAGCGGCTTGCCTCCAGAAGTTGTGAATGCTCCAACAACACTGGAAGTTTTTAAAAAGATGTTGGATAACCATTTGTCTGAAGTGGTGAAGGGTTTCTGCCTAAGCAGAGGGTTGGACTAGAAGACCTCCAAGGTCCCTTCCAACTCTGTTATTCTATTCTAAATTACTCCTTAATTCCAGGTTGCTTTTCTCCTTCATTAGTTTCCATCCATTGTTCCTGTCTTGGATTCTGGGGTTTTGGAGAACAGGTTGATCCCCTCTTCTCCTTTAGGCCAATCCCTTAGATATTGGGCACTGCTATCATGTCATCCTTTGTCCTTCTTTTCCAGTCTGGCTTTCAGTTGGGTTTGTGGATTGGAACATGCTCCAAGAAAATGGACGTCTAGGTCACCTGAAGGAGATCTCCAAATATGTGGTCCTACTCTCCCTTGACAGTTCAGTTCCGGAAACAGAATCTGTGCAAAGAGAGGTTCTTAACATAGGAATCCAATAGAAGCCACAATTGTATTCTGTGTTGCACAATCCCACCACACAAATGATACCAATGGTGTAATTTGCACCGATTGTGTCATGATCATACAGTTGTCACACCTTTGAGATTATCCAGTTTAATCCACTTTCCGAGAACTCTACTTTAGAATAGAAACTTGCAACACTGAATATTATTATTATTATTTTGCTCTTCTCTTCCTCTTATATCCCAGGCAGTCAGGAAAGATCTAATCTTGAGTATTCTCTTAATCCTTTCTCACTGTTCTTGTCTCAAAGCATGATTCTCCATGATTTTTTGCTATAAAACCTTTTTCAACTCATAAAATATTTCTATGATCTTTTTAGAGTTTCCAACAGAAAGGGAGGGGGGAGCAAAACCGAAACTGCATTCCATAAATGTTTTCAAAGATAGTAACTAGGTGACTGAAGTTCTTGCCTTGCAAAATTCTAACTGGAGAGCATGATTGATTACTCTTGGCTATGGATGTGTCCCATTAGAGAGGGGTGTGGGGGAAACCAGGGTTAAGGGTGACAATGAATGTTGTGGAGTCGGCTACACCCAGGCAGTGCTGGCATGTTAACTCCCAATAAATCCTTTTTAAGTTTTGGAAGTTTGGCTCGAGACTCATGATTTAAATGGGGGTAACTGCCAGAATCCTGACAACCTTCTCAGTAGTTTCTCTGAGGTCACCTCTATGGCTCTCAACAAAAGTGTATATTTGACATCATGTCAGGACATGCATGAAGTCACTTCTTCCTCTTGTTTCCCAGAGTGTTCAATATCATGGGAATGGTCTACTTGGGTTCTACAAAGATCTTGTCGAACTTTCCTCCCAATTGCATCTGTAAACTTGAACATCTGGGGTGATGATGCCCATGTCTGTCTGTCATCATGAGACATTTTCCTGTCCTGTTAGGTGACACAGTGGAATGTTTTGAAGAGGTGTTGTGGCTGAATTATTCAACATCTATACCTCCCTTGAGAAATATTATCCAGCATAACCTGTCCCTGACCTGTCTTCTCAAGCCTTACAACCATTAATGCTCTAATTGAGACCATCTACTCTGGTGCTGGTTGTCTTCTCTTTCCTTCCACCTTTCTCAGTATTGCAGGCTACTTAAATGTCAGGGAATTGCGCAGCAGGTGTCCTAATGGAGTCAGAAACCCTGACAGGAACTTGTAGTTTTATC